GTCCACACTGGCAAGGCATTTGCAGCGCTGTATCTCTGTGGTTGCAGCGCTGCATGTACTCCACCTCTCCGAGAGGAATAGCCAGTATTGCGCTGCCGCTGCAGCGCTGCGGCGCCAGTGTGGAGGCCCAATGCGCTGTGAATAGCCTCCAAAATTATTCGGCAGTATCCCACAATGCCTGTTCTAGCCACTCTGGTCATCAGTTCGAACTCTACTGCCCTGGCCTCAGGTAACCAACCATGTGACTCACCCTTTACATTCCCCGGGAATTTTAAAAATCCCCTTCCTGTTTGCTCAGCCCAGCAGGCGTGGAGTGCTATCAGTGACCATGCCTCCACGCGCCAAGCGAGCCCCAGCATGGAGCAATGGCAAGTTGCTGGACCTCATCAGTGTTTGGTGGGAGGAAGCTGTACAGTCCCAGCTGCGCTCCAGCCGTAGGAATTACGATACCTTCGGGAAGGTATCAAAGGACATGAATGAAAGGGGCCATGACCGGGACGCCCTGCAGTGCAGGATTAAAGTGAAGGAGCTGCAGAGTGCATACCGCAAAGCCCGCGACGCAAACGGCTACTCAGGTGCTCCCCCCGTGACCTGCCGATTCTACAAAGAGCTGGATGTGATACTTGGGGTTAACCCCACCTCCACTCCGAGCACCACCATGGACACTTCAGAGCTGGTGTGGGGGGGGGGGGAGGAGGAAGAGGAAAACGGGAGTGATGGTGGTGGGCCGGATGGAGACACCCTGGAATCCCTGGAGCCATGCAGCCAGGAGCTCTTCTTGAGCCAGGAGGAAGGTAGACAGTCGCAGCGGCCGGTACTTGGTGGAGGACAAACAGAAGAGCAGGTTCCTGGTAAGCGGGGTTTTTTTTTTTCGGGAAGGAATTTTTTCGGTGCGGGCTCTTTGGGAGAGGAGGGTTAGGCATGCATGCCTAGATGTGAAATAGTGCATTGATGTGGTTTATCACATCGCGGTAATCGGACTCGGTAATCTCCTCGAATGTCTCATCCAGAACGTGTGCAATGAGCTTGTGCAGGTTTATCGGGAGAGCCACCGTGGTCCTTGTCCCAGCCAGGCTAACGTGTCCACGTCCCTGTATCGCGAGGGGTGGGGGGACCATTGCTGCACACAGGCAAGCTGCATATGGGCCAGGGCGGAAGCCGCATTGCAGTAGAAAACCCTCCCTTGCTTCCCAGGTCACCCTCAGCAGTGAGATATCGTCCAGGACGAACTCCTGTGGAAAATGTCGGGATAGTGGTCAGTGTAGGTGCCCCCTGAAGCTGTTGACTCTCCCCAAGGCACAGAAACCCAGAGGACAGTGCAGCCCTGAAACAATCAGTCCCCCTTACTCACCATTTTGAGGCTCCTGTGGGATATGTGTGCTCTGTTTCGGACGGGAAAATTATGCTATTGTGTAGACCCTGTGTGTTTTCTACTCCTTAAGTGTGGGGGAATCATTACTCTGTCTGGTATAAACAATGCTGCCTCTGTTAAATGCTGCATTTTGCCTATACTGCTGCATCAACCTTGAGACCTCAGCCGTCCCTCTTATCGCCTGCTCAGAGACTGCAAAGACTCAGGAAGAGACCGCTAAAAAGCAAAGAAGACATGCTGCAAGAAGTGATGCGACAATCTATTAAAGAGAATGAGAAAGCA